GAATCCTCTAGACTAGACTCACATGCTTCCTTGCACACAGGCAGTGCTTAATAGGTACTTATTAAATGGAAAAAATAAAAGACCTCCGGCTAGGCTGACCAGCCTGCTAGTACCCACCACTCATTGGATCTCCAAGCCCACTTCTATCTGTACTACTGTTTAATCTCCATCTCTCTATCTTGTGCATGCAGATTTTGAAAGAGACTTTTTCAGGCCTTTGCTGAAATCTAAGTGTACCAGACCTAAATTTCCCTAATCTACTGGCTAAGTTAGCCTGTTTTTAAGGAGCCCATCATCTTGATATGACATCTCTACATAGCACCAGGACCATCACTTCCTTACACTCATCAAAGCACCCCTTCAACAATGGTCTAGAATCTCGCCAGGAATTGACGGTACAATTTGTCATCTTGTCACAGAAACAAACCATCTTCTCTCCCTTTTTGAAACTTCAGGTATTTCCCTAGCTCCAGTATGAGAACTCCTCTGCCACCATCCTTGATCCCTCCGAGATCACCAGGACTTGCCTCCCTCCCAGGAGCCCCTTTTCTTACGTGGGCCCAGGGAGTAGGAGCACAACCATAGCTACTTTGCTTGCTCATTGACCATTTCTTCACTTAGTCTGCTAACTCTCAATTCCCTGATAAACATTTCTGTCCCCTCCTTTCTGATCTTTCTCCGTGGTGGAAAAAACAGAGGCAAAGTACTGAACGGCCCCTCGATGCCCATGTTCTTCAGTTACTGTCTCGCTTACTGCAGGCACGGCTCCCTTTCCCATTCCTTCTTGTCACACACAAAGTGCACAAAATAAAAAATAAATGAATCTGCTCCACAGGCCCCCCCCATTGTTGCCTTAAGCACCTGTCCTAAACCTCAGCTCAGGGCTCTGGACTGGCTCATGCCTTTCTCTTTTCTTCTTCAGTCACCCCTCTTTGCTCTCATCTTCCAGACCAGTCTCCTTACAATCTCAGCTTCATCACTTCCTTCTATGACCATAGTTTCTCGAAATACCTCCTCCCTTTTCTTCCTCAATACAATCATTTAGAGCATTAGAATTTTGTTCCTAAGAAGGTTCCATTACTCTTGAGCAGAGTTCCCTTGTAGAATCTCAGGCTGTGGAATCCTGCCTATGCTTTAGCTCAACTCTGAGAACCATTCTCCCTCAACGTAGAGCAGCCATGCTGCCCAATCCCTCCTTAGTCAACTTCATCAGGGCATTCACCAGTCACTTCCTCCCAAGCTCCCTGTAAATATAAAATCTATTTTCTAATACATGGCATCTTTAATGCAGAACAAACCACCCCCACTAAGATTTCTAAAGCAGATCACTTGACTAAGAGATGATGTTGTAAGAATCTACAAGGAAATAATCCCATTCAAAAAAATGGATATTTTCCTTGCTTAAGCACAGACAATCATTGTTCATCTCTGTCTATTTCTTTACCAGTCAATTCACCTCTGGCATCAGAAAAAGAGGTACTCGAACGTTTGGTATTCACAAATTCTACTGCAAACACAACCCATCTAGGTAAGGAACATTTGCCACAATCTACAGCAATAATAAAATTCAGCCAAGAGAGCACCAAATTATTCTCTAATTATTACGGTTCCTACTTCTCCCAAGAGCTAAAGAGACAAGTCAAAATTTGCTTTGCCAAGCAGAGTCTGTGCTCTTTAGACACAGCTTTAGTAGTTCATAAACAGCAGAAGCAGTAATAGCTGATATTTACACAGCACTTTTTTTATTTTTTATTTTTTTTAGGCAATTGGGGTTAAGTGACTTACTCAAGGTCACACAGCTAGTAAGTGTCAAGTGTTTTGGTCTGAGGCCGGATTTGAACTCAGGTACTCCTGACTTCAGGGCTGGTGCTCTATCTACTGCACCCCCTAGCTGCCCCTTACACAGCACTTTCAAGACACTATATTTACAGTATCTCGTTTGGTCCTTACAACAACCTTGCTGTAATGCTACAGGTATTATTTGCTCATTTTACAAAAAGAAAAACTGAGGCTCAGAGAGTTTAGGACTCTTCCCTGGGGTCACAACAGAACTAGGAAGTATCACAGGAAGGATATGGCCTTGGATCTCTCTGATTCCAGATCCAGCTCTCCCTTTTTCCACTACACTGCCCCTCCCAACCTAGTACCACGTTCTTAGAATGTATATATTTTTTTCTTACTCACAAATTTTCAACAGTAAAAAGAAAGGCGGGTAAAAGAAGATTTCAAAACACTATAAAAAAGGCTATGGGTCAGTTATCTAGTTATGACACTGAAGAGAAAGAGAATAGGACTAACCCACCTAGAGAAGATTCCTTTCCAAATGAAGATGTTAATACCTGCTACAGAAACAGGCACTTGATTCCTGAAATGATTTTTTTCAGGATAAGAGGGAAATGTTGATGAACATATTAATTACAGCTCCCATACTGCATGGTGATCCTCTGATTACAACATGAATAGTATATAATTACAAAGGACAAATCTCAGTCTGCTGAAAGAAGTGAGAAAACACACCTGCCTCCCTTGCACACTAGTCACTCGCCTCTGAGGAACAAGGGGTCTAGAGCACTGTCACAGTCAGCTGATGCACTGGTTAGTCTCACTGAACGGCCTTTCGGGTCTTTTCTTTTTTTATTCTTTGTTACGATGGCGGGCTCAGCATACAGGGGAAAATGGGGGGGGGGCGGCGCATTAATATAAAACCAAAAAATGTCAATGGAATGAAAACCTTTTCTTAGAAAAGCCGTATCACAGCGATCACACAAAAACTTTACCCTCCCTGGTCAAATTAAGCAAACCTGTCGTACCTACTTACTTCCTTTCATATTCGATAATCAGTAACCACATAAAATAAGGAATTCTATACTTTGATCAACTTTAAAAATCACAGATTGGTCAAAGGATGTCTATGGTTTATTTACAAAGACTTCTCTTTTTAAGTCAGTGAAGGATAGAAGAAAAAAGTCTCTAACTTTTATCCCCGAAGTTTACACTCTGCCTCCTGCCTCAAGCTTGTTCACAGGCCATTCCCCAAAGCCTTCTTGCCCCTGGAATTCCCTTGCAATACTTCACCATTCTTGCCCGCAAGCCTTCCCTCCAGGAGGACTCTCTACTAAGAGGCCTTTCTTGAGTCCCCCTAATTGTTAAAGAGCTCGACTCCTCCTCAATTCATTTAGTATTTACTTATTTGTACATGTTGTGCCCCTTGAAGGCAAGGACTGCTTTTCATTTTGGTCCTTGAATCCTGAGTCTAGCACTGTAGTTCACACACAGTAGGCACTGAAAAAAATGTTCTGGAAGTCTAAATTTGATCTGGAGTCCCCGAGTCTCTAAACCCTGGATACTACATTTGTATTGGACTAACAATACCACTCTACTTGGGAATAAACGTCTAACGACCAATACAAGTTTCTTGACTAATGCTGATTTTGTAGGCGATATAATCTCTATGGACAGAACGTATCCTTAGCTTCACTAAAAAGGTCTCTGGCATTTGTGTATTCAGAAAGGTCAATTTCTGGGGCAGCTAGGTGGCTCAGTGGATAGAGCACCAGCCTTGAAATCAGGAGGACCTGAGTTCCAATCTGGCCTCAGACCAAACACTTGATACTCACTAGCTGGGTGACCCTGGGCAAGTCACTTAACCCCAATTGTCTAAAAACAAAACAAAATTTAGAAAAAAAAAAAAAAAGAAAGAAAGGTCAATTTCCAACAGCAAAAGTCATAGAGCATGGATCATCTATAAAGTTGTCTTAACTGGAATAGTTTTGCCTTTCAAGAACAGATGATAAAGAGTAATTCATGAACTTGTATGAACTGATATAGCAAGCAGGACCAGCAGAACAATTTATACAATAACAACACTGTAAAGCCAACTTTGAAAGACTTCAGAATTCCGATCGACTCGGGAACAAGCCACAATTCCAGAGGACTGTTACCCACCTCTGCACTGAGAGGTGATGGCCTCAGAGGGCAGAATGAAACCTATAGTTTTTGGACACGATCAATTTGGAAACATGTTTTGCTTGACTATAAATATTTGTCACAAGGGTTGTTTTTCTTTTTCCCAATGGGAGTAGGTGTGGGAGAAGGAAGGACCCAGGACTAAAAAAACAGTCTTTTGTTAATTGAAAAAAATTTGTTAAAGATACTTCAAGATACCTTCTATCTACCAGTAAAGTTGGAAGTTCCTCATAGATTATATTTTCCTCTCTATCACAGAGAAAGACTGCATAAGATTTAAGGATGTTCCATCCTCAGTGTTGCTGGAATGACACATTAACAACCCCAAACAAGTGCTGGAGGAGGAGGCGTGAATCCAGCAGCACAGAGAGCCCTCCCACTAAAACGAAGCCTCTCACCACAGCAAAGCTGCATCTTTCCCTGTGAGATGAATGGCCAGCTTTTGGACAGCAGGGTCTGTGTGTCCCATCTCTTTCTCTTCAGAGCCTGGCACAGAATCTTGACTAGAGAAGGTTCTAGATAAATGCCTTTCAAATTGACTTGTACTTACCAAACAACCATTTATCAATTTGATAAGCGAAATGTTCAAACAGTAGTTTTCTTGTGTGTCTTAACTAGTATAAATGTTACTCATGACCACACAGGAGGCAACTTTTAAGAGGTCACAGAATGGATACAGAAGTAACTTACCCACCCCATTCTCCAAGCAAAAGCAGTGCTCTTAAATTTGCATGTAAGTTATTTAGCTGCAATCTTCACAGCTGTTCTGGTGCCATATCTATAATCTACCCAAAGTCTAGCTATTGATAATGATTTTCCTAAGAAAAAAGCCATGTTCTGTTTTACACAGAGCTCTTCTTGTCAGAAAAAGGGCCTAGTCAAGCCCTGACTGTTCAGTCTTCAGACCAAAGAGCCTGCATGTACCTTTCTTCCCCACAGAGAAGCCACCTGAGAGTGTGGACCTGCTGTCCAGTCACTGAGCTTGGAAACAAAGAGGGGCTATTTTGCTGTAGTAGAGAAGGGAGAGCACTGACCAGTCTCTGGCTATAACGGATCCTTTCTTCCTCGGGTTCCATCTCTCAGAGCTCTTCTGTTGAGATGACCGTCAAGAAAACCTCTCCTGAGCTGTCTTCTTTCTCCTCAGGAAGCAGAAGGCAACACTAAAGAAGGATAACAATATAAGCCCGGATCAGAATTCATCCTTACACTTGTCCTTTTCTCAGACCCTGTGGGGACACCAGATAACCTAGACACATCATAAGCCCCAAAACACCCCACCAAGACAGCTGGCACTTTCCCCACAGATTGTGGACTTCTGTGCTTTTACCCAAGGGGTTCCAGGCAATAAGTGCCATTAGTTGCAACACAAAAGTTGTCTATGGCCTGGGCAAGTGAGTTGCTTTCACTTCCTTCTGTAGAGGGAACAACCCTTGCCTGTCCCCACAGGGCAATCCAAATGTGCAAGGCTCTTTCCTTGATGTCAGCATCAGCACAAAATCCCAGGGCTGAATGAGACTTTCAACTCCCCTTTCATCTCTGGAGGTCTCCACGGGTGAAGTGTACACTGAGCTAATCCTTATTCGGACAGTGGTTTTAACTGGTTTCTTCTAAGGAGAGCCTAAAAAGACACCAACATACACACACTAACTTCACATCAACAGCTTGAGAAGTTGGTGTGGTGCTGGTGATGGTGTTGTGGTCCTTCTAATGGAGGGAGACAGTTTCTCCCGAGCACCTCCAGTAACTCAATACCTGCTCACCCTTCCTAAATCCATCTTTCCCCTCACAATACAACACCCTAAAAGTGAGAACTCTCAACAGAGGAAGAGGACGCAAAGTGGAGACAGATTTCATCAGACCCTACAAAAGAGAGATGCTAACAAAATAAACCATGACGACTCCATTTGCGGATAGCACAGTCGAATGAACCATTCACAAAAACCAGACAGACTAAGTAAGACAGACCCTGGCTACACGAGTCAGTTCGGCAGAACAAGAAAGTGTCTAAATGAAATACACTTGTGGATCGTAACATGGCTTCCGCAGGTGGTAACAGGGTTTTTTTTTCTTCCTTCTTCTTTTTCTTCGTCTTCTTCTCGCCCCCAACTCCCAGCTGAGCCCGGCAGCGGGACCCTGGTGCCCCAGCTCGGCAGAGCCGCGTCGTCCCCGCCAAGCGCCCCGTCCGTCCCGTCCCGTCCCGTCCCGTCCCGTCCCCCGAAGGCGAGAGTGGGGGCAGCGTCCGAAGAAGGACTCGGCTTTGGAGGAGGCCAGGCCGGAGAGAAGGAGCAGCCGCCGCCGCCGCCGCCAGCCTCGCTCCTCGGGGCTCCTACGGGAGAAGCGAGTCGAGGATTCCCGGTGGGAAAGAGAAAATGCAAACTTTGCACGGGGGTCCGGCTCAGCCTCGCCGCCAACTTCCCGGGACTGGAGGGCAGGGCCGGCTGCACGGACGGACGGACTGGACGCTCGGGGGGAGGGAAGCGGGGGGGGGGTCTCACCGGGGATCTCGCCGCTCAGTCCGGGTCCGAGCGATCGGGGCTCCGGCGTCTTCGGACGCTGCCCGACGATGGCGAGCCGGGCCCGGGCCCGCGACGGGAGTCGGCGGCCCCCGGGAGAGCTCGGCCCGCGAGCGGCGGGGCCGTCAGGCGGCGGGGCTAGGAGCCCGAGCCGGGGCCCATCCGCCGGGCGCGAGCGGGCGGGCGAGCGGGCGGGCCCCTGCCGGCCTCCCTGCCTGCCCGGCGCCCGAGCCGGGGGACCCGGGCTGGCCGGGCCGGGCCGAGGGGCCGAGCCCTCCCGGGGCGGCGGGCGGCCGGACAGAGGCGGCCGGGAGGGCGGGCGGGCTGGCAGGCGGGCCGGCGGGCCGGGAGGGAGGGACGCGGCCCGGCCCGGCCCGGCTCGGCCCGACCCGGCGGCTCCGCGGAGCGGCGGCGGCGGCGGGCGGCCCGGCCCGGCTCCGGCCACGCAGCGGCAGCGGCAGCGTCCGCGGAGAGGCTCGGCTCAGCGCGCCTCGGCTCGGCTCGGCTCGGCTCGGCACGGCCGGGCTCGGGCTGCGCCGCCGCCGGGAGGGGTGTTGTTTCCCTCACACAGGAGGAGCCGCTGGAGCAGCCGCCGCCATTTTGAACCCGTCAGACTCTCACATACACACAGCGCCTCGGAAGCCCAGCGCGCACGCGCGGCCTCCCCCCCACCACCCCCCGTCACCGTCAACCCCCTCCCCCAACTTCTTCCCCGTCGCTCCCCCGCGGTGAGCGCGCACGCGCCACAGCCGGTCCCAGCAGAGAAGCCCCGCGGCTCGCGCACGCGCAGACGCGTCGCCTCCACCTCCCTCCCAACCAGTTCGGCAGCCTCCCCAACCCCCCGCGGCCCCCTCCCCTCTGCGCCCTGCGACTGACGCAGATCCCCCTCACCTCTGCGCCAGCTCCTCCTCCTCCTCCTCCTCCTCTCCCCTTTCAGAGCGCTCGAGCCAGTCTCGCTCTTCGCGCCTGCGCACGGGGCAGGATTCTTCCTTCTAGAGCGCGCGCGCCTCCCCCCCCGCCCTCTCTTCTCCGCCACCCCCCTCAGAAAGGGGAAAAAGGGAAAAAAAAAAAAAAAAGCTCCGCACACACCCAGACACAGTCCTCCAAGCAGACGCATTGCGCGCGCCCGCCCCGGCCCCGCCCCACCCCGCGCGCCCGCCCGCCTGCGCGCCCCTCCCCTGCGGGCCGCGGAGCCGCGCGCCGGGGGAGAAAAAGCGCCCCCCGCCCCCCCTGTGGGGCACGAGGCGCCCCCCCACCCCGGGTCCGACCCCCGGGCCTGGCCCCGGCCCCCAGCCCGGCCCGGTCAACCACCGTGAGGCCGAGAGGGGCCGGCCCCCGGCTGCCTCATCACTCAGTCAGTGCCGCAGCCCCGCCGCAGCCTCCGCCGCAGAGGGCTGGGCCAGACGGAACGGGCGGGCTGCGATCAGAGCCACGGATGCTGCAGAGGCAGAGGCGGGCGGGCGGTGGCCGCAGCAGATGGGCCGGGGCTGGGGCAGGGGCCAGGCTGGCAGAGCGGCAGCGGAGCTGGGCAGGGCTGGGCTGGGCAGGGGTCGCGACGGGGACCCGGACCCGGACCGCTATTCCTCTGGCAAGCTGTTGGGGGCCCGGGCCGCCCCTCCTTTCCTGCTGGCTGGGGCTGCAGGGGGGCAGGCTGGCAGGACCCGCTGAGGGAGGCTGCAGGGCTGTGGCAGGGGCCACCCTGTCCAAGTCCTGGGTCCCAGTCCAGGTCCCCACCCCCCCCATGCCAGGCATCCAGGTTGCCGGCTTTGCCGCAATGCGGGCTAGGCAGCGCTAGGTGCGCAATGGGGCTGTGCTGCAGTGCGGCATGCCCACCCTGCCCAGGCCACCGGTGCCATTTCTGCCCGGGGGGAGGGGCATTGCCCTCTGCCAGCCGGCGCCCCCCCTCCCCCGGGTCCGGTCGGACCACCAGCTCCCCGTGTGCGGCAGGCGGGGGTCCGCAGATGGCTGACCCCGACCTTGCCTCGCCTTGCCAGCCAGCCCAGTGGGCGCTTCAGCCGCTGCGGTATTGCCACATCAGCCTCCCGTGCTCGTCCTGGTCCTCCTGGTCCTCGTCCATCCCTCCGACGAGCTGTCCAGGCAGGTGGCTGGCGGCCGGCGGGCAGCCCCGAGCCCGAGCTGTGTCCAGGGGAGCCATGGCGGAGGCTATGTCGCTGCAATCTGCTGCGCCTGCCTGCGGCACTGCGGCATCGCGGTAATGCCTTGCAGCGGGCACTGCGGCAAAGCACGTCCACACCCCATTCGAATTAGCCCGGGAAGCTGGCTCCGGCATCCCTTTCCTCCTCAGCTGTGTTCATGTTTCCAATAGTGCCGATGGCCTCCGATGCGGTCCCGACGCGATGGATGGACTGGCGCCCCAGCAGAGCCGATGTCAGTGCGAGTGGTGCAGAGCTGAGCCCAACCAGCTGTCCCCGCTGCCTCCAGAAAAGGGTGTGCATCTCAGGGTGAGTTTACACACGCGCGGTCCAGCCGGGCGGGTTCACACACGCGCCGCAGCCAGTGTGACCTTAACGTAAGTGACAGGCTAGCCCAATACCAGGGTCAGCTTTCCTGCCGTCTCCGCCGTAAGACCTGGCCTATTCCATTCTTCCACCCAAATAGGGTACGGTGGAAGATCCCAGAGGATCCGCCTACCCATTTTTCCCCTCCTCCTTCGCCATCAGACTAGGGGGTGGGGGGGCTGGTGGAAGAACCCAGGACGCCAAGTCCCGCTACCGCATTGGTGGCTGCGGCATTGCGGCACTGCGGCGGCGCGCGGGGAGCTAGCTGAAGAGATAAACATTGTTACCATTTAGGCTTCCTCTTTGTTACCATTTAGACTCCTTTATCAGCTCCAGAGGATAGGAATAAAGAAATCACCAGCACTGAGCCTTGAGCCCGAGGGTTCGCACCCCCAAAGATGGTCTTTGGAGCAGCCACTTGGGCACGCCAAGGCCAGTCAGCCCACAGTTCCCTAAGTTGGACTGGCGCAATTGCTCACCCGACTCTTTACCCCACGATCCGCGATCCGTGATCGGCGGTCTGAGATCGGTGATCCGCGATCCGCAGTCGGTAAGCGGCTGCCTGCCTCCGCAGCCACCGCGAGGTAGCTACGGGTCTGGCGTTGGCACATTGTGGATCGGCCCTTCCTGGGGCATCAGAGGAAGCTGCAGAGCTGCGGAGGGTTCTGACACCCGCTATCAGCAGCCGCAGTGCCCTGGACCAGGCTCCTTGGGCATGCTCGGAGCTGTGCTCCCATTCCCCCGGCTAGGTCTCTTCCCCGCTTTTTTAACTGGCACCCTCTCTGGGGCCAGGCTCCAACCACACAACTTGTGAACCCCTCAGAAGCCTCCCCAGCCCCTTGGGGTAGATTTCGGAGGGACTGGCAGTAATGACACTGCCTCTTTTACTAAAGCTCTGCTTCCAGTGCCGAGTCCTGGAAGGCGCTGTTTAAATGGTGGGGTAGGATTTTTGGTCACGTGAGGTTTTTCTGCAGTCAGCCCAAGGCGTTTCCCTGATATGGGAAACAGCATCCTTGGGCCATCCAGGGGCCATCCAAGGGCCATCCCTGGGCGGCTGGCCTGCAGGAGAGGCAGCATTAGGTTCCTGTTAAAATTGATAAAACCGTGTTAGGGGAATGGAGTTGCGTAGTGCCAGGTAGCTGCAGGAAGGAATTCAGCTATTCCTAATCCAGCAGTCTGCTGTGGTAGGAGGTCTTGGTCACCTATATGCAGAACACAGATTTTCCTGACGTTTTTATTTTCCCCAAGAAAGGCCCTTTGGGGAGGGACCTAAAGGCCCCCCGAATTGCAGCCCTGCCCTGGACAGACCCACTGTGGCTCTGGGCCCACCTTCCCAAGTACTAAGACTGTCAGTTACAATGGGGACAGTCTCATTCCCTGGAAGAAATACCTCCTAGGTTTTCAGTTGTAAGGCTGGGCCAAAACCAGTGTTTTCCTGGTTACATAGGGTTGTAGAATTTAGCGTAGTCATTTGGATATGCCTTTCTTAGAAGCCAGTGAAGAGGCTCTTAAGTATCTGAACACAAACTGGTAAACAGCAAAAATTTTGTCAGCCCCCATTGTTCTCTGGGTTAGCCTCTCTTCCAGCCAAACAGCTGTAAAACAGAATTTGACATTTTTCTTTATTACTGATCCGTTGGGCTGGCTCCCTGAAAGATGAATTTGTTGTTTTCACAGTATCGTTTGACCCAGCGAGCCACTGGGTTTCCAGATCACTGGGATTGGACTAATTTTAAAACTTAAATTTTTAAAAAAATTTAAATCTTTAAAACCTGGAAATTCTGTGAAATCTTCTCTCACATTCCTATTTGCCTCTCTCCTCAATGCCTGCGTACCCCCAACCCAAATAGCAGCTTAAAAAAAAAAGATGTTCATTAATAGCAGAATGAATTTGAAATTCTGGGGCCTTTGCCATTGGCTGTTTGCAAAATGGAAAGAACAATAATATACCTTTGTGCCTCACTGTTACACGTTCTAGATTCTGCCTTCCTTTAGCGTTTTCTCCCCTGGGTAGATTGAAGCCACAAGAAAGAGGGGGGCGGTGTCCATTCTCCAGTTGAAAGACTGCAGACAAAGTCTTGTGTGAAAACAGGATTTTAGGGAACCTGGAATATCTCTGAGAACAGACTCCCAGCTCTCAAGCTTGAAGGGACCTCAGAGGTCATCTGCTAGCCCCATGCCCTCTTTTTCAGAAAAGGAAGCAGACCCATGGAAGGTCACACAGAGTAGTTAGCCTTTGAGGTGAGATTTAGACAAAGTGACCAATCTTTCTGATGATGAGTCTGTTTCCAGCTAAGCTGGTACTTGAAAAGCTGATGTGTTCTGTTGCTTGGTCTGCACTTGAATCCTGAGCAGCACAGCACGATAGGACTGTCAGAGCCTATGCTCTGTTAGGCCCTTGGACCAGCCCCAGAAAAGTATGCTGGTCAGGTGGCAAAATGAGGGGATTCCGAGCTATCTTTGGCCCCCAGGAGAGCTTAAGGACATTTATCAGCACCCTTTTGGAAGGATGTAGACAAGACGCACCCATCACAATCATGAGTGGGGGGGGTGATCTACATGTTGAGAGGATGCCCCCTGCCAGCCCTATC